TTCTCTCGAGGATAAATGGGTGAGGGAAGTGACTGAGCAATACCAAATTGTCGAGAGACAAGATTTGGTTGATAAGAGATCAAGCTCAAATGATTTTTTGAGCTCCTGAATCTCAACGGCATGATCCTGGGGCGAAGAAACAATTCCCACATGCTCACGTACTCATCAGTCACGTCTTCCTCTTCATCTGAAGGATATGGTCTGGTAAACCATTCTGGACCAACTTTTCGACTGGCAAAGGGAGCCATGGTCGGAAAAAAACGCTTTCGCTCCGCAAACATCATTACGAAGCTTGTGAAAGCCTTCTGAAACTGTTGGCCTTCATCAGTAGGAGTCAGTAGTGCAAGCCTAGTGCCTTCGACCCTCCTGTTCAGGATTTCAGGGGCCTCTTTGTTAATCTTATTCCTCTGAGGAAGGAAAGATTCGAAGGTGGCATTGAGCCAAAGTTGGAGAAGCCAAAAAGGACCAGATAGCAGCAGGCTCCCCCTGTCCCCTATAACCTTGAGTTGAGTCACACCATTACTAATGGACTCATATAGGTTGGCCAAAATCAATTCGGCCAGGCAAAGGGGATATTTATGGTGAAGCTGCATCGCGAGCGTAAGCATCTTTTTCATTACCTGAAGTGACTTTGTGCAAAAAACGAAATGAGACAACCACGTAGCCAAAAAGGCTATATGCTCCACTTCCGACACGATGCTAGAGGCTTTATCGTGGAAATGATTGATAAAGGTGGTGTAAGTGGGTTTTGTAGCAGCAAACCCAATAGCATCCTCAGACAAGTCTTCAGGGTCGAAATAGTCACCAGTTGGTCGAAGACCAGTGATTGCAGCTATGTCGAATAGAGTGGGGGTCATCATCCCACAGGGAAGATGAAAGGTGAAATGTGCGCTATCCCAAAAATACAATGAAGATACCAGCATGAGGGGACAGTAAGGCAATCATGTCTTCGACAACATCACCAAGTCATAAATGCCCATTTCCTTCCAGACGGAAGCTTGCGCCTTCTCCATTTTTTTCAACCAGTCTGAATACTCAGAGGAGAGGTTAGGGCTTGATCGAAATATTAGGTTCCCTTTGTTCATGAACTGGAGGTTGATATCCTCTATAGTCTGAGCATGCTGCTGGTTGGCTGGAGTAGCGTCTTCAGGATCATTTCTAGGCTTTTTTGCGCATCCTATGGGTCTGAGCCTTGGGTGAGTAGGGAAGAAGGCGCGATTCTTCAAGGGATCTTCGACACATGAAGATAACAAACCAGACATAACATACATGTTTCCACCATACCTAATGGGAATGAGGAGCTGAGAATCATATGCTTCTCGCCACTCCCTCGTCATGGGTTCAGCAACATACCGATCAATCGAGGAAGGAAAAGGGTTAGTGGAAAAGACCTCTGGTGGGTTTTGAACATCATCAGCATTTTTGGGTTGAGGATTGTTTGGTGCGTTGGAGAGGAAGGCCATTGTTGAAGGTTTGGGAGAAAACGAAGTTGACAGTACAAAGTGTTTGAAAGCAAGAGATTTGGAAATGCTGGAAATGGTAAAAGTTCCAAATAGAAAGGTTCAGAAGTATTTATAGCCTTCAGAAGAGGGATATGTCTCGTCAAGGCCATTTAATGTTTCGCAGGTAGTGGGACACGTGGCAAAGTGTGAAACGATTACCGTGCAGGCGTTGGGAAACGTTTTGACATGCTTGCCTAGGTTATAGGAATATGGTCATCATGGCAAGCGTGGTAACGGCAATTAGAAGAGACATCTTGGAGAAAGAGTAATGATGGTTTTCTCAGCAGCTGTTGGAAGACGAAAAGCACACGTCAAGACCTTGTGGACAACTGGGAAGACAGGTGTCGAATGAGAAGTTCAAAAAATGGCTATTTCTTTGAGCGTCGAAATAGACATTCTTGGGGGGCAATTTGTTGGCTCCCAAATTTGACACTTACTATATTTGGTCTTTTGGACCTGTAGGTGTTTAGTTATTGGCATGTATTTTTGGTAAAACCAGGTGTGTGAATGTCATGACTGATGTCATAACATTCTGGTTTATTAGGTACTGGTTTATTAGGTACCTTTGTAGAAAAATAATGGCATACAGGTGCTGCTGTTTATGAGTGTGTATCTGAGCATTTTGCAAAAAGATCACATTTATTGCCTTCTACCAAAATCAGTAAACAGGAATTCTGATGTCATAACAAATGTTAAGACATCCTGTACTGATATAACAGTTTTGCAGTTTCGTTAATTCTGAGTTTTTTCAGGAAGTTGAGTCATTCCTTCCAGAACAGAATCCTGCGTGGTCTTTGGGTTAACCTAGCTCAACCCTAATCTGGTTGATAAAGTCTTGTGACCAAGTCTTAAGGTTAAACCTAATTAACCCTAGCTTTTTGTGGAAACCCTAACTGAAGAAACAACTGCTATATATTCAACAGGTTTGCTGTTTGGAAAACAATCCTTTTGACTGAAGATCTATTAGGAACTGTATAGTTTTAACTACTGTAATCCAAGCAAGTATCATTGTGATAAGTGACTTGGAATAGGTTTTAATTGTAAGGGTTTTGTATCACTCAAAGCTTTGAAGCAAGAGTGTTTTATATCTCTTAACTAAAGCTTTGAAGCAAAGTCAAGTTAGGTTTATGTATCACTCAAAGCTGTGAAGCAAGAGTGTTTGTGTTGCTTGATTAAAAAGTTGTGAAGTATAATCAAGTGTATGTTTTGAAGAGTGTCTTCATTAATTCATTAGTCAATTGTTTTAAGTATCACTGCTGTGATTGAGGGGGAGTGAGTAGGAACTCGGGTTTAAGTTGTACTTAGATTGAAGTTGCATTGGGTAGGTCTTAAGTGAAGGAGATAAACTGGTTGGTTTATTCCTAAATTAATATCTCTTATAGTGGATTTCCTCCCTGGCTTGGTAGCCCCCAGAGTAGGTGTTGTTTCACACTGAACTGGGTAAACAATTGACTGTGTTCTTTACTGTTTTTGTATTTACTGTCTTATAGAAAGTCAGATACGATGTCATAACATTGACTGTGACATTGAGTATCTGCAGCCAGAATTTCAGGACCAAAAAACTGGATTGAACCAAGTCAAGAAGAATGTTCGACGTATGAAATAACTTAGGAAAAAAGATCTAAGTTATATTTGAGCCTTCGACCAGGGCTCACTTTCAGGTTCGTTCGACTGAAGAGGACTTATGTCCCTCGACTGAGAGAAAGTATCCTCGCTTTGGCGCACATGATACGAGGATTATTTGAATTTTGAATTATTGGAGGGAAAGGCAGTTTCGCTAGCGTTTAAGAAGAAGCAACGTGGTTGAAAGCCATAGGTCGAGGGACATGCAGAAGACACTTGTCTTCATCTTAGCGCAGAATGATCCCTCGACGATTACTTATCTTTAGTATAAATTAAGAAACTTGTGTAGTTTTCAAAGGTGTTCAACCTATTGTACTAAGTCACTCAAATATTATCCAAGTAACCGCTGCGTGAGAAAGGATAAAATTGAGAAATGTACGTTGGAAACACCTCTTTTCATTAATGAAAGTCTTTTACATTACTTTACTATTATCTTGCAAAGTTATCTTTTTTACTTCTTTTACTTGCATTTCTACATCTCTGCTTACTTTTCCAAAATCTCAAACATCTTTTCTCTGGGTCGAACGTGCGTTCTTCCTACTTATCCATCTTACATAAAAATTAGCATATGTTCTGGGATTAATTTGATCGATCCCGTAAGTAAACCAAAAAGAACTTACCTTTTTGGAGATCAGCGGTTATTTACCAAAAACAACGGTAAACACATACACAAAGCAAGTTTCAAAAGTGAGCTAAGAAATTAAGAACCCGTAGATAACTACGGATGAAAAGGGTACTAACACCTTCCCTTTTCATAACTTACCCCCCGAACTCAAAATCTATCAAATGTCTTTCTTATTATTTTCACCTTTCCTAAATATTGGATAAAAGAAAAGTCGGTGGCGACTCTTGTTAACCGCAACATTTGCGATAAACCAAAAAGTCAGTTCTCCCACCGTATTACACCTACAAAGATTATTCAAGAAGATTATTACCTTTTGTCATACCCCAAATTTTCCCGCCCTTTATTTCTACAGTCAAAAATATTTTAAATATTTTTTTTATAATATTATTTGATTTTTATAAATATTCGCTTCCAAACCTATTTGAAAATATAATGATTTATTTCATATCATTTGTATTTTTTAATAAATAAATATTTGCTCATCTTCATGTATTTTCAAATGCATTTTTAATTCAAATTAGTAACATAACATAATTGATAAAGAATGAAGCTTGCAAGTATGATGTCTCGGATTCAAATCCCTTGTGGTGCACTAATAACATTTTCTATTTTTTGTTTTTTGTTACTAACTTTTTTTCCTTTTTTAGAGATTAGGTTTTGAGCTTTACATTTAATTTTGGGCTAACTTTTCATTAACAATTCTCACACTAGGCTAGTGTTCACACACACAATCAACAAATCCATGATTTTACAAACACACACTTTCTCACAATTCACACACTTGGATTCTTAAACTTGTTTTCTCACACTTTCTTCTTAAAATTACTTTTCAACTACTATTGGTGATATTTTCTTGGTTTGACGATGATTTTCATATGAGACTCCTCGTTTTTAATTTTGTCTTTTTTTTAGTTTTAATTTATTTACTATTTCAACCATATTGATCATTATTTCTCTGATTGTTTTCTTTAAAAATTATTATTACTAATTTTTTTACACCACATATCCATTAACATTGACAATTTTTTTATTAACGATATGAGAATTGGAATTGAAATAAAGTTATTGAAATATTTTACTGATTTCTAATACTTTAGTTATTTATAAAAAATTATTGTTTATTTCAGGTTCCAATAACAATATCTCATAACTCAAAAAAAACCATGCACACATTGCTTCTGATTTTCAATTAACCAGAAACAATTACTATATATCACCATTGCCTTGTAACAACCATAAGCCATTCATCCTCACAAATACAAATTTGTAACGCAAACTATTCCTTCAAAAAACCAAAATAAGAGTTGGATTTTGAAAAGCAAGGAGCAGATTCGTAATCGCCATTGTCGTTGTTTACTGTGCAATTCTTTTTCTATTGTCTTTTGGTTATGTTTGCAGGTTATTATTGAAAAAGAAGAAATATTGGTTCCAAAACACGAAGCGACATTCGTCGTACCCTCCAAAATGCAACGGACTTCCGGTCTCCGATGAAAGCACCGCCCAATAAACGAAGTCGTAGCCATCATCCACCACTCAATCACAGGAAGCATCACTCGCAGTCACCAGATCAATAATCACACTGTTTTGCTCCCGGTTGCAAACATAGCTCATCTGGTCACTAATGCAAACGCAAACAACACCATCCACGCCCAAATCATGACCTCACCGGAGCAACACCGTCGCCATTGGAGGTCCCTCCGTCCAGACCTAAGCTCCGATCTGGCGCATCGTGGCCATCACCGATCTAATCGCAAATCACTTCCTCTGGTTCCGCGTGTAACCTCCATTGCAACTCGACCATCGCCAAAACAAATCCGTGACTCCATCTATCACAAGCCGTGAAGAAATGACCCTCCGGTCGAACTCCCATTTGTTCATCGCACTTCCTCCGGCTCCGACGCATCGCGACAATTCATCTCCTTCCGGCTACGCGAGTCTATATCGACGATGCTGATCCGATCAGATATGCCATCTTCTTTCCAGATTCTGATTTCATAATTAGTTTGTGGCTATTTGGAACATGATAAAGAACAAGGGAGAGGAGAAGAGAGGAGTCGACGGAAGAGGAAGAGCAAAATAACGTGTAGTTGCCTCTGTTGTGTTAACGCTTTGTTTTTGTTTTTGTTTTAATCTTAATTTTAAGTAATTATCTATTGTTTTTTTCAAAATTTAATGTCAAAAGGATAAAAATAACTCCCTAGGGTTCAATATGTGCTTGGGCCTAATAGTGTTTCCAGCTTTTACTAATTCACTACCTCCATTACCAAGTTCACACCCTTGTGTTTTTAGTTGGCTTAGTTTGTAATAATAAAAAGAATAGGTTTTATTAGTTAACAAGATTTATTAATTTATTTAGTTGTGCATGTTTTCTAAGTCTCTCAACTAATTCAACATTCGATATTTGCCTAATAAAAATTTTCAAAATCAAACTTTTTCAAATTAATTAATTCAAATATTCTATCAATAATGAGATGTCCATCTTCGAGTAATTAAATTGGTCAATGCATCAATTACCGGTTTATTATTCAAAATCAAACAATTAAAATCCACACAACTCACCAAATTCACCATCCAATGAGCGACACGTAGCCAATATCTGGCCACATGATGAGGAGACTATATCAGAATTCCCCCGCTCTATGCCCTACCATACTCCAATCAAAACATCAAAATAGCTAACCAACATCAAATTATTTTTCTATTAACATAAATAAAATCCAAGATATTTTCGAAAAAGGATTAAATAGAATTACATGCAAAATTAACTGCAAACTGCGTCTACGATCACTCTTTTACAAAACTTAGACAAGGTTCAAGGATAATTCAAAAGCAATTCTACGCAATCCTATAAAAAACACCAACCAACATACAACCTACGAATTGGGGCTCTGATTCCTAATAAGAGGATACGTAGCCATACAACTAAAATCATGGCGAGTTTCCCTATTAAAAAATTAAAACCCTTACCCTAAACCTTTAAAACCTAAACCCTGGTATCCTTGCGAAAAAGGTAGATGAGGGTGCCTAACACCTTCCCTTCATCTAAACGAAGTCAGAATCTAGAATCTTCGTGTACAAAATTAGGGTTTCCTATTAGATTCCCTTCCTTAGGATAAAAACTAGTAGTGACGACTCAATTTTAAATCCAGTTACGACACCTTTCTTCAATAAAGTTGAATTCCATCATATTCCAAGATATGAGAATCAGATGGAAGATGCTCTAGCCACCTTGGCTTCCATGTATCAAGTGAATGCTTGGAATGATGTACCTTAGATTACAGTTCAGCTTCTTGACAAACCAGCTCATGTGTTTGCTACAAATGGGACGTCAGATGAAAAACCTTGGTATTATAATTTCAAGCACTTCCTCTAGACTCAGGAATATCCGGTTGGTGCATCGAACAAAGATAGAAAGACATTGAAAAGGTTAGCATGTAGATTTTTTCCTCAAGTAAGATGTGTTATACAAAATAAATTATGACATGGTCTTGCTCAGATGCGTGGATAGACACGAAGCAGACATGTTGATGCATGAGGTCCCCATGAAGGTTCCTTTGGTACCCATGCTAATGGACATTCGATGGAAAAGAAAATGCTTAGGGAAGGTTACTATTGGCTGACAATGGAACCTAACTGTTACAAATTTGCAAAGAAGTGCCATAAATGTTAGATTTATGCTGACAAGATTCATGTGCCTTCAACGCTTCTCAATGTTATTTCTTCCCCATGGCCCTTTTCTATGTGGGATATTGATATGATTGGAACGATTAAACCTAAGGCGTCGAATATACATCATTTCATCTTAGTGGCAACTAACTACTTCACCAAGTGGGTAGAAGTAGCTTCTTATGCTAATGTCACTAAGTAGGTGGTAGTACGCTTTATTAAGAACAGTCTTATGTCGGTATGGTATGCCAAGTAGGATTATCACTAGTAACAGCTCAAATTTGAATAATAAGATGATGACAGAAATTTGTGAAGAATTCAAGATTGTCCATCACAACTCTTCTCCTTACATGCCTAAGATGAATGAGGTTGTTGAAGTTGCTAATTAAAAATATTAAGAAGATCATCCAGAAGATGGTTGTTACCTATAATAATTGGCATGAGATGCTCCCTTTTGCTTTGCATGGGTGTCGTACATTCGTCCACACTTCATTAGGGGCAACCCCATTCTCTCTTGTGTATGATATGGAAGCAGTGCTCTCCGTTGAGGTTGAGATTCTCTCTTTGCGTGTAATAATGGAAACCAAGTTGTCAGAGGTTGAATGGGTCCAGAACAGGTTTGATCAGTTGAATTTAATTTAAGAAAAGAGAATGACGGTCTTGTGTCATGGTCAATTATATCATAAAAGAATGAAGAAATATATTGATAAGAAGGTCAAGCCTCGTGAATTAAGAGAAGGCGACCTCGTGCTCAGAAAGATCATGTCTATTAACGCTAATTCTAGGGGGAAATGGACTCTCAATTATGAAGGCCCATTTGTTATCAAGAAAGTCTTCTATGGGGATGCATTGATTCTTGAAACTATGGATGGTGAAGAGTTACCACGTCCTATGAATGCTGACGTAGTAAAGAAATACTCCGCCTAAATAAATAACAAAACAACTCGCTAAGTTGAAAAAGGGAGGCTTAGGCAAAAAAGAGCGTCTCGGTAGGATGAAAACCCGAAAGGGAGATCTAGGCAAAAGCTAGAGACATAAACAGAATAAATTTTCCTGATAGGCTGAAAACCCGAAAGGGCGGTCTTGGAAAAAGTTAGGGATTTCCTGGCAAGTAACTGTGTCAGAAAAGACTTGATCATTTGAAGCAACAATCTTCTCGGATTCTCATCACACTTCAACTGAAGCCTATTGTGATGCGGTGGGAGAACTGACTTGGGTGTTTTGCATTTTATCCCAAATGTTGCGGTTAGAAAGAGTCGCCACCGACTTTTATTTTATCCAAAAGGAAAGGTAAAAAAGCACAGGAAAGACCTTTGAGATTGTTTCTTGAGTTCAAGGGGTAAATTATGAAAAGGGAAGGTATTAACACCCTTTTCATCCATGGTTTTCCATGGGCTCTTAGTTACTTGCTAGATCACTTTCTTTTGTTTGAAAAATGTGCTTTGTGTGGTTTTTGAAAGTATTTTAAAAAGGGCGTCATCGTTTAGGCAAACTTTGTAATAGTTCTCGTTTGTAAGAACGTATACAAAGTGTTGATCTTTTGAAAATGTTTCAAGTTTGAAAAGATGTTTTGAAAGTGTTGGTGTTTGTTTTGAAAATAACAAGAATGTTTTGATTTGAAAATGAGCAAAGAACTTAGGAATATTCTACGTACTCAAAAGTATTTCATGTTCATTTCCTCTTTCCTTTGACATTGTTATCTTACCATTGACTTGGTAAGTAACCCTATCTTTGGATGTAAAAGGGACGGGCAAGGGTCATCGTATAGCCATGATTAGCAATATTGTAAGATATCTTAGCATTTTCTTTAGAGACTAAGATCATTTTGAAAGACAACATGGATAGCGTCATCGAGGGACTATGATCTTGTATTTCGATTATTTTTTGCTAAGACATCCCACATGCATAACATGACCATTTTTTAGGCAACAAGTGGGGTTAACATTAAGGGTGCATGCGTGAATAGTGTGTTTGATTTGAATGCATTGTTTTTGTCTTTGATTAGGGTTTTCTATTGATTGGTTTTAGTCTTTCCATGCAAAACCCTAATTACTAGCATTTTGTACTTAAAAACATAAAAATACAGAAAATGAAGTCCTACGCTATTACATCATTTAGGGGATGGGGGTACAATTTACAAACACTTTTTCAAAACAGTTTTCAAAACACTTCGTAACACTCTTGAGGACAGAAACAAGGGTTAAAACGAAGTGAAAAAAAACTTTTCAAAACATAAACACACGAAAGCAATTTCAAAAAATGAGCAAGTACCTAAGAGCCCATGGAAAACTACGGATAGAAAGGGTGCTAACACCTCCCCTTTCTATAATCTACCCCCGTACTCAGAAACATCTCGAAAAAGGTTTTTCTGTTCTTTTTCCTTTTCCTGATTGGATAAAATGAAAGTCGATGGCGACTCTTGCTTACCGCGACATTTTGTGAACAAAAAACGCAAATCAGTATAACAGTCGGTTCTGCCACCGTATCACACTTGGTATTTCAGTGGAGCTAACCATAGGAGGAGGGATAATTGGTCTTGAGTGGTAGCTAAGTTGCTTAATAACATTCCGATTTTCATGATTTTGTTTTTTTAAAGCGCTGAAGAGTATTTATAAGGAGATTATCAAGATCCAACGAGCTTTTTGTGGGGTGGTGATGTTGGGAGGCGTAAGATGTGTTGGGTTAGTTGGGAGAAAATTTGTCGTCCACTTGATGAAGGTGGTTTGGGGGTTAAGAACATTGAGTTTTTTAATCTTTCGTTGATTAGTAAGTGGGCGTGGAGATTTCTGAAGGAGAGGGATGCGGTTTGGGCCAAGCTCCTTCACTCCAGGTATGTGGGGGAGGGGGGGGGTTATCGGCTTTAGTAGGGGATTTTTCAAAGCGTTGTTTATCAAAGTTTTCTTTATGGCTGAGGGATGTGAAGGTGGTTTGCGGTCTTACTATCAATGATCAATCATGGTTCTCTAATAGTATCTCGTGCAAATTGGGGGATGGAGCTACTTTTGCCTTTTGGGATGATGCTTGATTGGGTTCTACTCCTCTCAATGTACTTTTTCCTTTATTGTATGTTGCGTGTTACCATTCTTACTCTTCTTCTCCTTATGTAGCCGAAATGGGTGTTTGGGTAGATGATTGTTGGTTTTGGGATTTGCGGATGGAGGTGAGTCTTTTGATGGGGATGTAGCTTCGGAGTGGATTGATTTATCCTATTTGTTGGTGGATGTTACACCTCACGTGGGGATTGCAGACAAAGTTGTATGGTGGAGGAATGTTGATGGTTTTTCGGTGAAGAATAGTTATTTGAGGATTGCGGCTTTGTTCAATCTGTTGGTTGGGTTGATGGACGAAAGGAAGTTATTCGAAATCCATCGGGTTTGGAAATCCTTTGTGCCTAGGTTAAGTTGTTTGGTTGGAGGCTTTTGTCTAACGCCTTACCGATTCGGTTTGAATTGAGTTGTAGAGGTATCCATTTATCTTCAAGCGATGTGTATTGCCCATTGTGTGGTTTGGAGGTGGAATCTTTGGATCACCTTTTCACTTGGTGGTTTAAGGTTATTTCTTTGTGGAATGATGGTTTCCATTGGTAGGGAGCAAATTTGGTTCCCGATTTTTTGATTCTCTTGAGGATGTTTTGACATCTTTGTCAATTTTTATTTCTCCTCCTTTTGTCACTTTCGTTTGATTGTTGGTTGGTTGGTGTGTATGGCGGAGTAGAAATAAGGTTGTTTTTGATAGTTGAGTGTGGAATGTTGGTGAAGTGTTGGTCTTTATCAAAAATTTAGGTGGGATTAGTTATCTATTTTGTCCAAAAATTGTGTCAACTTTGTTTTAAATGTTTGGTTAGTTTCTCTCGACTTATATGTCGGTTTGTAGTTTTCCTTTTAATTGGTGGATTGGTTTTTTTTTACTCTTTTTCCTTTGCAGTGGATTACACTCCTTGTACTTAAAATGCAAGTGATTTATCAAAATAAAAAATAAAATAAAATAAAAAATAAAAGTTGTTGTTGACAAATGAAATGATGAAAGATTATTTAACCAAAATTAGATTATACAACTAATAAAAACCATACAAATAGATCAATTAATTTAGCAAACAAAACCTTTAATATACCACTATACTTCCACAACAACAAAAAAAAACCATTAGCCGATAGATTGTGGAACTGCATAAATTCTGTACAAAAGACGAAAGTGAACAGATTACTTAACAAAACAGTAAAGCTGCTGGTTAATTTAACTATCTTCTGCCTCTTTTTCTTCTGCAATAGTTTCCAACACTGGAGCATGTGAAACCTTTTTAAGTGGAATCATAGGTGCTGGTGCAAAACAGTTGTGTTTCCCTCCTCGGGACTACCGTTATAAGTGGAAAACCCTGAAGAACAGGGGAATCGTCGCCCCAATCCTCAGGAAGCGACAAGTGAGCTCGAATGCTCGAAGAAAGGCAATCGCATTAGGGTGGAGTTGGGAGGGGGCCAGGTTCAGATGGTTGAATACCCCGACCTGGAAGTCGTTGAAGGGAAACCGAAGCCCGAGATCTCTGAATACGATCTCATACATAGGGAATGCATCTTGCGTGAACTCTGAACAGATACGAGCATCCCTCGACGACCTCATTATCTTGAAGTTCCTTTGAAATCCTTCTTGACCACCGCCATACTCGACGACAGTATAAGCTTGTCTACTACGAAGGCTATAGACTGAAGCTATTCCCCGGGGCTCAACACCAACCCAATTCAGTGTGGGGTCGTCGACGGTGTCGACCAAGGTAATAGTTTCTTCCGTTGTACTTGTCTCCTTGACGTCATCACGCCCCGAGGACTTGGGTATGTCGGCCATTTACCTGCAAAGTACAGGAAACCGGTGAATTCGACAGCGGGAAACAAGTGGATCTCAACCAAACAGCGACCCCCAGTGGCAGATGCACATCAATCATGAACGACGTGAGCACAACATGAGTACCCCGGGTAAAGCATGAATCCCGCGACCAAGTTCATAATTTTGCTGGCCCGGTACAAGAATATTACGGGGAAACTAGCCTACGTGCTAACAAAAGGATGAATCTCCCGACCAAGTTCATGAATCTACTAGCCAAAACGCATGAATGTCACGGGCACGATCATGAACCATATGCCTAAACTTATGAATATCCTGGGCACAACCATGAATCAGGCGCCTAGCGCGCTTAAATCTATCGGGCATAATCCCCAGACGCAAGTTTCTACTACTAAAACATCGTCAAAACTATCTACAACACTAGAAATCAAAGGGAAAGGACACTTACTTGGAAGAAGATTTGAAGAGCGACGGTGGTGGAAGTAATCAAACGGCGAACAGCGCAGCGATCTCAGAGGCGTTATGAAAACTCATGACAGTAAAAACAGAGAAAATATGAGAAGCGTGAAGAGGTGAAACGGACCATGGGCCCTGGAGTCCTATTTATAGAGATGACGTGAAATATGAAACGTCGCGTCAGGGAACCACAAACCACCCCCGTCCTCGACACCTACTGGCCTTGACAATGATGGCCCTATTCTCTAGGACGACATTGTGATTTCCAAGGGCTACACCACGTGTCCAACGGACGCAACCGACACATCCCCGCGAACGCTCCTCGAGCACTCCCCGACGGGGAAAATCCCGGCATCGCGCACGCGATCCTCGCGAAAGAGTAAACTCGAATCAAGTCATAACTCCTGCACCAGGAGCAACGACTTGGAGGGCTCCTGTTCTGGACTGGGCCTGCCCATAGCCCAAATCACCAGTAAGGCCCAATCCAAACTGTGCCACGTGCTATGTTGGACATTAGATCCTCCGAGCATACCCGGTCACGGGCTATAGGACTAATACGACCATGCCCGCCGCTGCCCGTGAGAGACGTCCCCGACGAGAGACGCCGCAGACGAGGAACATCTCAATCCGAGCCTTGCTCGAGTACCCTCCTCGTAGGGCAGACTCTCGATCCCTCCGGATGTTTCGGAGTCCTCAGGGCCCTGAGAAGATCGCGTCTTCACCCTCCTTATTCTTCGGAGAGCATCATCCAGGTAAGGAACCACGTGCAAGTCCCCACTACTCACGTAGAACCTGACAGTCCCTTTGTTGGGTCTGTTTTGGTCAGCCCAATAAAGGGACCTTGACCCAGCGCTTGGGGGCTATAAATACCCTCTAGTTCAAGAGGGTCAGGTATTCATTCATTCACACCTACATACAATTCGCCTGCTCATTCCATCTCTCACTTTATCATCAGAGTGTCTTGCAGGTACCCTCTATCTCCTTCAAATCCAGTTCGAACCAACTGTGACGGTTCAACTCTGATCAGGTACGATCAATTAGTGTGTGTGACGGAGTAGAAATAAGGTTGTTTTTTATAATTGGGTTTGGAATGTTGGTGAGGTGTTGGTCTTTATTAATAATTTGAGTGGGACTGATTATTATTTTGTCCAAAGGTCGTACCGACTTTATTATGGACGTTTGGTTTATTTCTTCCTACTTATATGTCGGTTTGTAGTTTTTCTTTTAGTTGGTGGATTGGTTTTTTTTACTCTTTTTCTTTTGCATTGGATTACACTCCTTATACTTAAAATGCAAGTGATTATCAAAATAAATAAATAAAAATAAAAAAAAATAAAAGTTGTTGTTGACAAATGAAATGATGAAAGATTATTTAACCAAAATTAGATTATACAACTAATAAAAACCACACAAATAGATAAATTAATTTAGCAAACAAAACCTTTAATATACTACTACTGCTTCCACAACAACAAAAAAAAAAAAAACCATTAGCCGATAGATTGTGGAACTGCATAAATTCTGTACAAAAGACGAAAGTGAACAAAATTACTTAACAAAACAGTAAAGCTGCTGGTTAATTTAACTATCTTCTGCCTCTTTTTCTTCTGCAATAGTTTCCAACACTGGAGCATGTGAAACCTTTTTAAGTGGAATCATAGGTGCTGGTGCAAACTCATCAACAAAAGATGCAAAGAACTTAATTTCCTTTGCCATATGAAATAGAAGTAATAAACTAGAGCTGGCAAGAGTGTTGAGAATGATGCGCGTGCGGCTTGTTCTTTATATAAGTGCCAAATGAAAGCACCAAAACACAGAAAAGTATTTCTCTTTTGGACCGTAGTCGTTATAGCTTCAGGGAAATTTCCACTGCTAGTAGTGATGTTATGTCTAAGAGGGTTGAACCAAGAAAATATATATTTCTTTAGAGTATTAAACTCACGTGAGTAATACCACATAAATAAATAAATAAAATAAATAAAATATCATTGTATAGTAGTGGTGTTCTTTGTGCCACGAGTGCTTTTGGGGCCTAATAAATTAAACTTGTTGTCTTAATGACTAATGCCAACGTGTTTTAAATGGTGGGTGGAGGAAATGAGAAGGAAATCAACTATGGAAGAGAAACTAGTGGGCAAGTGTACCAAATAAATGGACTGCTCATGATGTAAGAATTATTATATGCTCCCTAAACACTTGATTAAGAAAGTTAATTAGATATAATAATTATTTAGATTTGATATAAAATATAAATTTAATTTTATTAGTTCCTTCTCGTGTGTATGATAGTTCATTATGAACGATGACAATTTGTCACCTGTGTGATAGTTATTTAGAATTTGTAAATTAGTGACAATATGTTCGGTGTAACAAAATTCAATCTCATTATTGACAACTTGTCTCATGTTTATTAGTTATTTTTGAAATTCTATTATTGCCATTTGCCACAATATGTTTTGCGTATGATATACAATCTCATATAGAATAGTTTCTATTGTGAATGATCGTTCAGATTACGGTGAAAGACCTTATATATAAATAAGTATCGGTTTTTTTTCTCTCGCTTTTTTCACACTTTAACTGCGGTTAATAATCTTCGACAAACCACTCCATGATAATGAACGGTATTAAATAATACAATAAAAATCTTTTGAAATAGCTGAGTTTTTAAATCTCCACTAAATAGCCCTCACTCAACAAACAAAAAACCTCCGTTATTGTTGTTAAAAACCAAAAAAAGTAATGTCTCTTACATGAAAGACCTATCATGGTCTCCTACAACTAGGAATGAGAATAAGTTGGTCGGAGTTAGACTTTACCAAACTTAAGTCTAGTCTACTATAAAAATCAAAGTTTAAGTCTGATTTATCTGTCATAGGTTTATTTTTAGATTTATTCGGACCTTTTTGAATGTCTGATTAGCCTAATAACCTATTTAAAAGGTTATTTCATTTTACCATGTGAAAATAAGTAACTCAAGTAAGGTTTAAATAGCGTAATATACTTAAAGATCAATGATACTAAATGTTTTTGTCTGCATTGACTTATGTGAGCTTACATAGTTGAATATATTTTGTGAGACTCTTTGTTTAAATTTTTTTATGAAAACAACATATTACATTGGTCATAGGATATTTTCTGCATATTTTCATAAGTTTTTCAAGATAGCTAAGATTTATTTTTATATTTTAATTCAAAGTATAAAATAAAATATAATAATAATGACAAAATTATTCTTATTTTTATAAAAGCTCGGTGTGATAGGCTTCAAAGGCTTTTTCTATGGCGTAGGTATAGTCTTTTTAACTAAATAGACTTGTAAAAAAACCTAGACCTAGTCTGATCTGAACCTAGGTAGGTTATATCGTAGACCCCTGTTAGTTAGTCTATCCTATTCTCACCCCTATCCACAAAAGACAATATTGTAAATGATAGTTATTTTTTAAATTTTATAAGTGAAAGTGTGTCTGTGTGATATTTCATTTTTTGCAATGGCAACTTGTCAGGCGTATGATAGTTATGTTTAAAATTTTGTAAGTTAAAGTGTGTTTGTGTGATTTTATTTTACACCATGGCAACTTGTCAGATATATGATAGTTATTTTTAAAATTTTACCAACAACAAATTTGTCTTGTGTATGGTTTTTTTTTCCAAATATAACTTCCTTTAATTGTTTTACTTAGTCTCAAACCTTACATTCTTGAAATAAGGATATAAATTCTCTCCTTTTCTTTCTCTGCTGCTCTCTGTTCTGCTCCAATTTCAATTAATGATTTAACTTTAATACAGTTTTCTTAAATTTATTTTCCTCCTTCAAAATTTCTTGACTGTAGAATTACATGCATAATGAATGGCAGCACATGAAAAACAGGAGACGATCCATACTCTATATTCTTCAAGCGAGAACAAACTTACGCCACTTGGTCATAAAAAAATTTGGGTTAAATAAGTTTTTGGTCCCTCTAAATATCTCAAATTTCATTTTTAGTCTCTCAAATATTTTCCTTCAAGAATTGGTCCTTTCAAAATTTTCTGTTTGAATAATTGGTCCCCAACGTCTAGTTCCACTAACGACTTCTTATGTGACAAGACATGTGGATTAAATAATTTTTATTTTATTTTCTAATATGGAATTTATTACATAAGTAAGTGACATATCTCATGTTTCAAAATCAAATTCCTTTGACAGTGGTCCCTCTCTCCAACAGTGGTATCTCCTTCTTGTGGTCCCAACATTGACGAATCTTGAGCTGGTTGTTGCGGTCCCAACAATGATTAGGTAAATTCCACTTGCTATAGTTTAAGAACAACATCATTCAGGATCAAAACTCTATTTCAGAAGCACAAATGTGGAAGAAAGTTCTTCAACAAGAATGTTAATGCTGATTGGGTATCTAGAGTGATTGTTGACAAGTTGAAGAATAATTCAGATATGAAATAGAATGAAGTTGTAGCAGATGTAAGATTGAAGTTTACTATAGAAATTACTGGATAAACTATAGCAAGTGGGACTTACCTAATCGTTGTTGGGACCGTATCAATCAGCTCAAGATTGGTCAATGTTGGGACCACGAGAAGGAGATACCACTGTTGGAGAGAGGGACCGCTGTCGAAGGAATTTGATTTTGAAACATGAGATATGTCACTTACTTATGTAATGAATTCCATATATGAAAAGAAAAAAAATTATTTAATCCACCTGTCTTGCCACATAAAAAGCCGTTAGTGGAACTTGACGTTGGAGACTAATTATTCAGACGGAAAATTTTGAAGGGATCAATTCTTGAAGGAAAATATTTGAGGGACTAAAAACGAAATTTGAGATATTTAAAGAGACCAAAAACTTATTTAACCCAAAAAAACTTATACTACTTTTAAAAGATGTCTAGTTTCGAATTTGAAATTTTATAATTTACATACAATATATTCCCCCAAAAAAAATTATTTCTCAAATGTGCTTTAAAATTGACATTTTAAAGCATAGTGTAAAATTGTAAAATTAACATGGCTTTTGGTTTCATTTGATGACAAGTTATTGTTATATTTTAAATGACATAATTATTTCAGGGATCTTTTAAGTTATTTTATTATAATACATTGACTCTTTAAGTTTTTTTTGTAATAATTTGGTGTTTTAATTTTTTTGTTGAATTAGAAACTGATTTTATATTTTTTAGATGTTACTTTATGTATTTAGGATGCTAATATATGCATTTTATTACAATTTTATGTATTTTGAGTGATTGATTTAATCTAAGATGAAAAAGGGATAAAAGGGGATAATTGTGCATACATTTGTTAACTTATTAAAGGACCAAATTGTTACAATCAAATAATTTAAAAGACCTCTGTTATAATTATGTCATTTTAAAATTCACAAGTCATTTTATCAAATGTTATGATTTCAATTACATTAGTAAGTGTCACACGCTTTGAGGTGACGTATGCACGTGATTTTCTAATTTGCTTTTATGATGACTAACCAATTTGAAATTCAGTCACTTTTCTTCTATTTGGATAAATTTATGAAACTTGTTATTTTAATGTGATAACAAGGAGAATGATCATTAATTTTAACTATTATTTTAGTTGGGACAAAATTGCAACAAAGTGAAATGAAGCAAGAAATTGATGGAAAAGAATAGAAATGGGATGCCACAATTTTTATATGAATTAAAAATGATGATGAAGCTTAAGTGAAGATAGCCACAAGAATATAATCGATCTATGCCACAAGATCTAGAGAAACCACTAGGGAACCACATGTTTCTTGACACATGTGTTAAATATTTGCACAAACGTTAGACAAACACAATTTTTGTCTAAACTTTTCCAATTGAGCTTCTTGAACATAAAATAGTGCCTCGACGTCATACAATATAGGTGAATCAGTGATCCCATACATCCGCATCACAATCAATTTGTATTCTTCAAGGACACCATTAAGGATCTAGTAAATTCAATCTTGTTCCAAGATTGAGTCACCAACTGTAAGCAAAGAATTTTGAATAACTTTGATTTGTAGTACATACTTACCAATGGAATGATTCCCTTTCTTTGTTGATTTCAATTCAATTCCTAGTTTTCGAACCCTCGCTTTCATTTTTGCATTGAAGTATCAATGGATTTTATCGTAAATCTAGAATGGGTGTTTGCATGACAACACCTCATGTAACACCGAATCAGGAATTGTACATAACATCTATATGGACAAGGTTTGGTCTTGCACAATCCATAACTCACATTCTTTAAAGATTTTACCTTCTAGAAGATCTGATGAATATGACTCATATTATTGAGATAATTATGGGTTGTTGAGACAATTATGTGTTGTTGAGAGTATAACTCATATTGTTGAGATAATTATGGGTTGTTGAGATAACTATAGGTTATTAAGAGAATAACTCATATTGTTGAGATAATTATGGATAGAGATAATTTTTAGTTGAGGGAAAACTAGCGATTAATGTTTTAGATTAATTAAAACCCCATATATTATATATATGGCTTATAACACTATAATCTAAATACAATGCAATTTCACAAGACTTAAATAAAGTGAACTATAGCTACTCTACAGTTACAAACGTATGTAATTTGGACAAACTACATGAACAAAACTTTTATGTGTTTCTCTCTACTCTGATATGTATTCGCGTTTTTGTTTTAACAATTGGCATCAGAGGCAGGTTTGATGAGATTTTACATTTCTAATAACATGATGAATCATATCATGAACCTCACAACTCTGAATGATGTCTGGAATAAATTGGAAAATCAGTATAATATCCAAGATTCTCATGAACAAATTATTCGCAAAGCAGTGTCTCTATAGCCTGAAGATTCCTGAAGGAAACGATTTTTCAGCCTCATGTTAATTCTTTCAACAACATCCTCGCTGATTTGACACGGCTTGGTGTGAATATTCATGATGAGGATAAAGCCATTATTTTGTTGT